GGATGGACTTTGCATTTGGTTCCTTTCAACTTCATGTCTTCTTTGTCTCCTTTGTTATCCATAGATGTAATCTTGAGTAATGGAATTCTTGGAATGATCTTTATGATATTCATTGAGGTTCTTCTTTGAATGTGAATCATCTACAACACTCAATGTGAACATTAGTCCATAAACACCATTAATGGTTTCTTATCATCAAAACACCTAGATTGTCCTTAGATGAAATCCTTAAGGTTAACAGTGATAATTTTGTAAAATGCTAGGTCGATGCATGCTCATTTCCTACGAGTAGCTTTATGTTGCTCCCCCCAAAGTTACTGGGGTATATTTCAGGTACAGGGACCTTAATTTAGGATGCACACTATACCATGGGAGTTTCGTAGACTTGAAGTATCATTTTCATGAAAATGTTGGCATGAAATCCCATTTATAGCCTTATATGTCAAAATGTGTAAATTTGATTTCATATATGTAAAGTGTACATAAGTACACTATTTTCAATGTATTTGATATGTATGACATGAGGCCAAGGGCCAAGCATGTTTATATTAGCACTTGTACACATTTGATGCCATATTTTGTTTAAAAATGTATTTTTTTCAACTTTGGAGGTTTGGCATGCCAAATCTTGTAAATGGGATGTAATGAGGCCGTAAGCCATTGTAGCATATTTAAAATCCCATATTACACTTGCGTGTATGTTCACATCATCACACATTAGCATATAATGTAAATTGATCATGCCATGGGGAATTCAAATGAAACTTAGGAATTCATTTCAGCCTTGGTGCATAGCAGGTTCATTCTTAGCATTTTCGACCTGTTTCGGTCTACCGATGGCTTGTTTCGGTTGACTGATGCCCTTTTGAATTGCATTTGAACAGTAAAAATCCAATTCCAGTAGCCATTTTCACTGTAGAGGCTTATTTCGGTTGACCGGTTCTTTATTTCGGTCGACCGAAACTTTTTTTTTTTTTTTTTCATCTCGAGGCACAAATCGGTCGACCGGTTTGTCATTTCGGTCGACCAAACTGAGAGCTCTTTTCTCCTCTTTTTCCAAGCTTATTTCGGCAGACCGATGCTCCATTTTGGTCGACCGAAATGGAGCTGCCATGTTGATTTTGTTTGGTTGTTGTTTCTTCAGGCTTGAACTAATTGGTTTACTTCCACTCGACTTTGTGAATCTTGTTTGGGCCATTTAATGGTATATGTGATCTAGATTGAACCAGATCTTGTTCCCTTGGTTGTCATTGGTGCCTCAGGGTACCATTTGACCTTTATATACTAGCTTTCACTTCCGGTTATTCACATAAGTGTCTTGGGGATGGTTTATATCCCTTAAGACTTTGGTTTTATCTTTGCTTCCGCATTTCGGACCTGTTACCAGGTCGACTCTTGATTCATCACAGGAGACACTAGGTTGAAAAATCTAGGGTCATGATAGAGAGGATTTTTGGGTATGCTTGGTTCTATCGATTGTATGTACTGGGAGTGGAAGAATTGCCCAGTGGAATAGCACGGCACACATAGGGGACGATCTGGCAAGAATACTCTCATATTAGAAGCAGTTGCCTCACAAGATTTGTGGATCTGGCACGTATTCTTTGGAATGCCAGGTTTACACAATGATATAAATGTGTTGGATCATTCCTCGATATTCAACGGTATCGTCAATGCCAATTACCTCCAGTTAATTATGTAGTGAATGGACATCACTATAGAATGGGGTATTACCTGTTTGATGATATATACCCTAAGTAGGCAACTTTGATGCAGACCATCCCGCACTCAACCACTACAAAAGAAAAATTAGTTGCTCAACGACAAGAGGCAGCAAGGAAAGATGGGGTATTGCAGATCAAGTGGGTAGTAACGCAAGGACCAGTGCATTGCTGGCAAAAAGATGACTTGCACCTTATAATGAAAACGTGCATCATCCTTCACCATATGATCATTGAAGATAAGCGTTATGCAAATGTTGGAAGATGGACTCCGCCACCGAAGGATACAATCCTGATTTCCACTTTAAGTCGATGCCCATCGGTTTTAGCGACACACATATGCCTGTCGGTGTCAAAAATGTTTACAAAGTATCTTATTCATTTCATTATGTTTAATTATTTTTATTTGTGTAGTATGTTATTATTTATTATTTGTGTTAATAAAATTATAATTTTTCGCAAAGATTTTCATCATCCAATTTTAAATTTTTAATCATCAATAAGTAAGTGAATCAATTAGTGTGTTATTATATTTAGCACACCAAGAGATATCCTTATAATACTGAGGGGCACAAATTATATTCATTTGGTCCCAAACATTATTTAAAAACACAAATATTAATATGTTGTAGGCTTTCACTTCATTGCAACAATTTTACCATTGCATGTTGCTATTTTTATGGGAACCAACACAAATATTAATATGTTGTAGACTTTCAAATCATTGCAACAATTTTACCATTTTTCATCGGAACTAACACTTCATTTTATTTGCTCAACAGTGTTAAAGGTCCAATTCACTTAATCATCATTCCTATCATTAACTATTCTGATTCGTTTTTTTTTTTTTTTTTCATTTATTAATTAATATGGTGTATCTCATTTTTCTTTTTGTATTTTGTTAGGATAGATGTAAGAAAGATGTATAAAAATGTATATATATTTTTAATTTAGTGACAAATTATTCTTTATCTGCTTACGTGCATTTGCACGTACACTTTGAGTAGTAAATAAATAAAACTCTAAAACTACAAAGAAAACTAATACCATAAAAGAAACTAATTATTTAAGTAAACTGAATATATAAACAACATTACCTAAAACTAAGATTTCTCTCTCAAAATTATAAAATAAAAATAAATAAAAATTTTATTTAATAAAATATTAAAATATATCCTACATCAGTCTCCCCACTTCAAAAAAAAAAAACTCAATCCCATAGTTTTCTTTGGACTAATCATATATTAATATAAACAAAATTTTATACCACTGACTTGACCTTATACCGAACTTCTTCAATTGCACAATACCGAAAATTCAGAGACTTTGAAAATTCTCTGTTAACAATGGTAGCCTCCAGACTTACTACCTCACCAATTAATGAACCCTTCTACATCTCCTCAACATTTAATTTGGAAATTTTATCAATGGGATCTTCACCTGAATCGACGGGAGTTGAATTGACATTAATGCCCTAGGTCGGCTGGGTCATTTATTTTACGCGCCTTTCCTACTTTCTCTCAATGGGCCCACTTTCTTTCACAGGATCAATAGTAAAGAGAGTGCTAAAGTTAGGTCCACCATCATCGATATGTTAATTCTTAGTTGCTCCTATGAATATTAGTAGCAAAGGACTATCTAAAAAAGACCACATGAATTTGAGAACAAGTCTTCTTGATTAACTCAAATTCCATTATCTTTTATTTTAGTGAATTTAGTGAAACGTACAATATTAACCTTAATGCTTTAGTTTAAACTAGAAAGTAGAATAATATTCTCCTTCAAAATGAACTGCTTGCATTGCAATTATCTATTCCTAGGCATTACAACATACGGTGTGTATTTATCAATACTGACACTATAGTATGATTTTGGATATTAATTGCTTTATCTTGGCTTTATTCTCAGAACACATGGACAAAAAGTGAATATATATATATATATATATATATATATATATATCAAATTTTATCATTACATGACTTGTTTTGGGATCAATTTAATTTATTCCATGTTTTTGTTGTCAAATCCATAAAAATAAAAATAAAAACATAAACAAATGACAGAAAGGATGTTGGTGTACTCTATATTCATCTATTCAAAAGTTCAATACCTTGGGAAGAAAAATAGAAATTTGATAAAAGAATGTTTGGCAACCCCTTTTACAGTATCACATTTATTATAAAAGAAGGAAAAAAAAAAATTGAAAAAACGTAATTTTGTTTCATTTGTTTTTTCTATTGTCAGCATAGGTCGAGATTTTTATTTTTAACAAATAAAAACCCAATAAAATGTAAATAAAAGAAAATTTTACAAATCTTCCAAAGAATTTTTTTCTTATGAGCTTTGAAACCTTATGCAATAAATTTAGTTATCAAACACGTTAAATTAAACAATATAGTTTTTGTTTTATATGGAATAGAAAATACTAAATAAAAACATTGTACAAAAAATAGAGGAGAGGGGGTGGGGTAAAACAACCCAAGAGGGACTAGCTATCAACTTACTTTTTCAGCTAATTGATTTAATTTCCTTTTGGTTTTTCCAGTTATACATGAAGTACTATCACTAAGTTGTCTCATTAATTATATGTATAATTGAAAATTGTTGTAAAAGTTGATATGGAGTCCACATATTAAATGTTGTGCACCAGTTATGTGAGTTATGTGGTTACGTGTGAGAAGCTATTTGGATGCGTGATTGGTAAACAAGAAATAAGGGGAAAGGCACAGAAAAGTTTGAGTGAAAAATGTATGTATAAATATGTGTGTAATGTTTTGAGTTAGACACAACAAACAAGAAGAAATAATAAACAAACTTATTTATCTTCGCGTTCCTTCTCATCTCTTGTGATTTATATTTCTTACACTATATTTGTTCTATATTTATAAGAAAAATAACCTGTATCAATTCTTCACTCATGGACTCTTTTCTATTGGCTAGTAACGGCCATTTATGTTGCATCCTAATATTAGGTTTTGTTTTCCCTGGGCTTTGGATTGGCCTATGTGCCTTTGTATTTGAGGTTAGCTTGTGGTAATTATGTTTATATTTATAATATTGAATTTTACCTTTAAAAAAAAAAAGAAAAAAAAAAAAAGAAGAAGAAGAAAAGAATATGCTGCCCATTGAAACATATAGTTAACCTCTTTGATAAAGTCAGACTCTTAACTTTTATCTTTTTCCTTTACTTATAAAATCAAATTTATTGTAGGAGTTCTATTTTTATACTCCTATTGTGCAAAATTTGTACATAACAAAATTGATTTATGCGAACAATTTAGATAAATAATCAATATAACAATGAATTTATTCATGCCTTCAGAGTAGTGGCAACATAGGTGAAGCGCAAAAACACACCTATCAATGATGTGTTAAACCCTACCAATGAAAATACATTAGAAGTGAGACTGAGATCGTATTTAAATACTAATATCTTTTCTGGTATACAATCGCGGGACACTCGTGTAAATATTGAGGATGAAAGATTAGCAATTAAATTGACCAACAGAAGGCCAAAATGATACTAAAAAATAACCACCTGGCCGGAGAGAACATTGCAGTACTTGATGGCTTAGGTCCCAAGCTGGCCGGTGGACGACAACTATCCTTTATACAGTCAATGAAACATTTACCGACCAGATCTACGACATTGTCTATGCATCCAGCAGAGCAATTAGCTTCGCACGATCCAGATCCAGATCCAGATGCAGCTGCTGAATGCTCTATGAGCATCAACATCACCAGCACCACCATCAATATATTTACTTTCTTTTCCATAGTGAGATACACCGGCGATATAGAGGTGGAAGAAGAATGGGCGAAGAGAGTTTGAATGGACCTAGTTACACTATAGAAACCCTAGAATTTATACCCAACAAAGATTCGAGCTTCACCCCCATAGATGCAATATTGAAATTGCCATAACCAAAGACCAGACACCAAAATTCCGCCCAAACCAAAGGATCCAATCAAAACCCTACATTCCCCAGCTCAACAGATTGAGGCATATCCACAAAATAGCAGAACACGTCACCTGTCTAAACCCCTAACCACACACACCACCAGACAACAATGACCAAAAGTAGAAACTCAAGAAGAGCATTCAAACCCAGCACCGAATCGCACCCAAAACTCCAAAAGTCGAGAAACTAAGTCCCCAATCGATCCAATTACAGTACGCACAACTCCAAACTTCACAGCATTAAAGCTCCCAGTATATTCATCCCACCTGGAACCCAAAGAAAACCTAGGCCCACGAAATGGAGATCTACAGCAGCAATACAGAGAGAGTTAGAGAGAGAGAATAGAGTAGAGTAGAGTAGAGAGAGAGAGAGAAATGACGGGTTACCTTTCTAAATGGCAAACACTTTCCGACGGAGCCCTAATTGGTTCCGCTGCCTGTTACTTCTCCTCACTACTACTTTTGCTTTTGGTTTTTAGCGCCCTCTCTTTCTCTCTCTACCTTTCTCTCTTTAAAAACACCAATGGGGAAGCAGGGAGGGGGAAAGGAGTGGGGGCTATGCAAGGGCTGTGACCGTGTGTGAGTGTGTTTTCATTTCAGTATAATTGAAATTGTGAGTGCAGATCTTGGAATTCTTCAAAAGTGCGAAACCCAATAAGCTTTTTTTTTTTCTCTCGGAAATTAAAAGAAATGTACAAATGGATTAAACCCAATAGACAGTCAGGAACCCAACAAACACGGCCCAAGCATCGGAGCCCAATGAGCATTTGACGCCAATAATTGTGCACCCTCCACCCTCCACCAACTTTTTTTTCTTTTTATGTTTTTTCTCTACTTATATTAATAGTACTAGTAGTGTTTTTTCGGAAAATAATAGTACTAGTAGTTGCTAAGTATGGTATGGTATTAATTTTCCAATAATAATTCAACTTTGCACTCTTCACATTTGAGTGGATATCTATGAAATATATTTATGAACCAACCAACCCCATCCACTAGATACGACTTTTCAGCCCCCACAAAATGCTTTTACACCTATGCCCATCCAATCCTCTCAGCGTGGATTAACTGTGTGAACAGCTCTCTGCAATTAGAACCCTTCAAACTCAAAACTTTAGAGTATATGAATTTCAACACTACATAATAATTAGGGTTTGTAACTTTTGTCAACTACTTGTGATTGGACTCAAATTATTGAGAGGGCTGTACTTAGATGGAGAGAGATGTAAATTCATTGAATTAGTTTTATTCTTACAAAATTATAGTGATAACTGAACTTTAAAAAGAAATTGTTCAACAGTGACTGTTTATTGCAATGGAATCATTTATTAGTGACTTTCTATAAATATAGTTATAGAAATTCAACTTTAGTTTTAAGATTGCACCGCATTATATTGAACTGTCATCAAACATCTTAGAATTTACACGTGTGACTTGTTAAACTACATTGGACGCTCCATACCATATACATATTATATCTCAACACTAGACTATACCCTTATAATAATTTTTCCTTCTCTGTTTCGAAGCCATGCCTACAAAAATATTTATTTTTGCAAAGGGAATCTAATAATTGTAAATCTAACACTATTTAAAAAAATAATAATAAAAATAAAAATCCTTTTGGACCTTCTAAGCCAACTTTACAAGTCAAATCTTATTATTTATATCATTGTCGGACATTTGCTTTAACTTTCCCGAATAATAAAATAAAAAATAAAGTAAGAAAGAAAGAAGAAAAGTCGTACAGAAGTATGTTGAAAATAGTAAACCCTTGCTGTTAAAAGACATATATTCAAGAAGGTCTTTGATTTAGTTCTCTAATACTAACTGTTTTTAGAGCTCAAAAAAATAGAAAACCGTTTTATAGAACTATTAAAACTTAAACGCCTATGGTAAAAAATAAAGGCATGTTTGCTTTAATTTTTATTTTTATTTTTTATTATTTTTAAGACAGATTGTTTTCAAAGAACTCGAAAATAGAAAACATTTGCTTAACAATTTTCTTTATAATTATTTTATCAAAACTGAGTTAAAAACACTATTTTTATATATTAGTCTTCTATAATTCTTTTAAAACTACATAATTTTTTAGAATAATTTTCAAATAACAAAATTAATCAAGACCTTGACCCTTATTTACAACAGTTATGAAGGAATAAGGATAATAAAAATATAATTTTTTTGCAAAGATTTTCATCATCCAATTTAAATTTTTAATCATCAATAAGTAACTGAATCAATCAGTGTGTTATTATATTTAGCACACCGAGAGATATCCTTATAATACCAAGGGACACAGATTGTATTCATTTGGTCCCAAACATTATTTAAAAATACAAATATTAATATGTTGTAGACTTTGACTATTAATAAATAAAACCCTAAAACTACAATGGAAACTAATACCAAAAAAGAAACTAATTATTTAAGTAAACAAAATATATAAACAACATTACCTAAAACTAAGATTTCTCTCTCAAAATTATAAAATAAAAATTTTAATTAAAAAAAATATTAAAATATATCCTACATCAGTCTCCCCACTTCAAAAAAAAAAAAAAAACTCTTCATATATTAATATAAACAAAATTTTAGACTTTATACCCAACTTCTTCAATCGCAATACCGAAAATTCAGAGACTTTGAAAATTCTTTGTTTTATCCGTAACAATGGTAGTCTCCATACTTGCTACCTCACCAATTAATGAACCCTTCCACATCTCCTCAACATTTAATTTGGGAAGAAAAAAAAAAAACATTTAATTTGGAAATTTTATCAATGGGATCCTCACCTGAACCAACTGGACTTGAATTGACATTAATGCCCTAGGTCGGTTGGGTCATTTATTTTACGCGTTTTACCTACTCTCTCAATGGGCCCACTTTCTTTTACTGGATTCATAGTAAGGAGAGTGATAAAATTAGGTCCACCTTCATCAATATGTTATTTCTTAGTTGCTCCTGTGTGTATAAGTAGCAAAGGACTATCTAAAAAAGACCACATGAATTTGAGAACAAGTCGTCCTGATCAACTCAAATTCCATTATCTTTTATTTTATATTTTTAATTTTGCACTGAATTTAGTGAAATGTACAATAGTAACCTTAATGCTTTAGTTTAAACTAGAAAGATGAATAATATTGCCGGAGTCCCTTTCAAAATGAACTAATTGCATTGCAATTACCTATTCCTATCATACGGTGTGTATTTATCAACACTGCCACTATAGTATGATTTTGGATATTAATTGCTTTATCTTGGCTTTATTCTCAGAACACATGGACAAAAAGTGAACATATTGCATGACTTGTTTGGCGATCAATTTAATTTATTCCCAGTTTTTGTTGTCAAATCCATTAAATAAAAAATAAAAAATAAAAAATAAATGACAGAAAGGATGTTGGTGTAGTCTATGTTCATCTATTCAAAAGTTGAATACCTTGGGAAGAAAAATAGAAATTTGATAATATTGGGTTTTGTTTTCCCTGGGCTTTTTAAAATAGAAATTTGAAAATATTCAAAACTCTATGTTCATGTTGTGCCTTTGTACTAGTATTTGAGTTTAGCTTGGGCTAACTGATTCAGTGGCTGCCCATTGAAACATACAGTTAACCTCTTTGATATGTTATCCGTTAATTGTCAATAACCAAACACACTTGAAATCTTCCTAATTAAATCAAGTCAGACTCTTAGCTTTTATCTTTTTCCTTTATTTACTGTAGGAGTTCTATTTTTATACTCCTATTGTGCAATAGGGGTGCACAAAAAGAACCGGGAACCGGAACCGAACCGAACCGGAACCGATTTTACGGTTCTCACGGTTCCGGTTCCGGGTCCAAAAATAAGGAACCGTTGAAATTCGGTTCAGTTCTGGTTCCGGTATCACGGTTCGGTTCCGGAACCGAACCGAACCGATATATATATATATATATATATATATATATATATATTATACTTGTGGGCTGTGGGCTGTGAGCTGTGAGCTGTGAGCTGTGGGCCGTGGCTGTTAGTGCTAGTGCTAGCCTGCTTATCAGATAATATTTTAGGGCAAATCATTTTAGCTTCCCCAATCGCCTCCATCTCTGATTTCTTTTCTCGTTTCTCGTTCTTAACTTTAAACTTGCCACCTCTCTCTACAACTACAAACTGCAAAATCTACAAGAATCAGAAGTTCAAAACCCATATATTTCAGTTTATGTATTTGTCTCCAAGAATCAAAAGTTCAAAACACAAAACCCATATCGGCATATCATTTCAGATTGTTCAAAAAATCAAAACCCATATCTTTTAGTTTCCATCGCACGCTGTTCCAGTTTGGGTTCGCCATTCGCAACTTCGCAAGCTTCAATCAGCCGCTGTCTCTTAGGTCTTAAGCTTGACCCCCTCTCTCTATCTCTCTGCAACTGCTAACTTGTATGTATGGGTTTTGTTTAAAAAATTTTTTTTTTTTTTTCTCAATCATTTAATCTTATTCTATTTCTGTTTTTTTTTTTTTTTTTTTTCTATATCAATTAATCCTATTCTATTTCTATAAGGCTGTAATTCTTGTTTTGCAAACTAAATCCTATTCTATCTCTATTTTTTTTTTTTGCGTACCAGAATGATGAGGGGTGGCCGGAGACTTTTTTTAGCATTTTTGTGATGATCTGAAGGGATGGATCTGTAGAAGTTGTTGATATCTGTTGGTTCTGTTTAGGTAATCGAATTGACTGGTACAGTTTTTCGTATTTCTGAATTGATGCCCTAGAAAATTTAGGTTTCCATTATAGCAGTCAACGACAGTCAACCGTTTCTTGGAACGGTTCGGTTCCGGTTCGGCTCCAATCTAAACGGTTCCGGTTCCGGTTCCATTTTTAAGGAACCATTGAGATCGGTTCCGGTTACCGAACCGGACCGTGTGCACCCCTATTGTGCAAAATTTGTTTATACTCCTATTGTGCAAAATTTGGAAATTGATTTATATGAGCACTTTAGATAAATAATCACTATAACAATGAATTTAGTCATACCTTTAGTGTAGTCGCAACATAGGTGAAGTGCAAAAACACACCTATCAATGATGTGTTATACCCTATCAATGAAAATACATTAGAAGTGAGACTGAGATCGTATTTAAATACTAATATCTTTCTGGTATACAATCGCGGGATACACACGTGTAAATATTGACGGTGAAAGATTAGCAATTAAATTGACCACCAGAAGGCCAAAATGATACTAAAAAATAATGTAGTACTTGATGGCTTAGGTCCCAAGCTAGCCGGTGGAAGACAATCATCCTTTATACAGTCAATGAAGCATTTATCGTCCTGACCTACGAAAGGGTCTGAGCATCCAACAGCGCAATTAACTTCACACGATCCAGATGTAGTTGCTGAATGCTTTATGAGCATCAACATCACCAGCACCACCATCAAAATATTTACTTTCTTTTCCATAGTGAGATACACCGGCGATATAGAGGTGGAAGAAGAATGGGCGAAGAGAGTTTGAATGGAGGAGAACAAAATTCAAGCTTTGTGCTACTATAACGTTATTACAAAAACAATTGAGGGTTCACCACAATGGATAGAAACAGAGATCCCAGAAGAAGACACAGTAGAGAGAGAGAGGAGTGATTTACGAGAAGAATGGAGGGTTAAGAGAGGCCTAGCTATATAGTAGTTGGGTTAATGTGAGCTATTGGAGAGTTGAATTGACATTAATGCCTTAGATCGGTTGGGTTATTTACTTCGTCTTTCTTACTTTCTCCTAGTGGACCCAATTAGTAATGAATATATGCCTAATCAGAAGTATGGAGTATATCAACACTATTTATGGTCCGAGGTTCTGCAATTCTTTATATATATGGTCCCCATCTATCAATTTCTTTGTTTCACACACCCTTTAATAAATTACAAAACGCACTCTAGAAGAAAAGAAAATAGATCTTCTTAGTGGCTGGAGTAACGAACAAAATGAACTTTTTTTTTTTTTTTTTGTTAATAATGAATTAAATTGAGCTCAAGACTATTTATA